GATAAAACTGAACGAGCTATAAACATTTGTGGGAAAAAAAAAAAAAAAACCAGGGCCAATTCTGCAGCAGAGAAAGAAAGAGCAGGTTCTTGTCTCCCTTCCCCGCTGGCCTGAAGCACTGTGCAAATATTTTGCCTGAGGTCCCAGGACTGACAGTGATAACCAGCCTCGTCCTCAGCCTGGAGCCCTGAGATGGGCAGGGAGGCTGAGGATTCAGATTTGGAGCCCGAGAATCGAACAGGGACCCCTGAGGGCTGCCTGTTGTTTTCACAGATGAGGAGTCTTGGGGTTGTCCCTGGGAGCTGTTGGTACCAGTGCACATCAAATATTCCAGTGTTGTTGCTGCTTCCAGCGCAGGAGGTGGTGACCCTCTGGCCCAGGGCCCCAGACACTGAGGACGGCTGAGTCAGCACAGACTGGGCACAGGGCCCTGGAGGTGGGAGAGACATGGAGGGTGATTGTGGTCTAGAGACAAGAGGAGGAAGCAGGGCCCATGGTCTCCCCAGGCCCTTCCCCCGGCCCTGTGTCTAGTCACCTGTGCAGTGAGCCAGGAGGGTGAGCAGGAGAGGGGACCAGGCCGCGGTGGAGGATCCCGCAGTCCTGCCTTCTGGGCCCACAGCTGAAGCAGAGCTTCCCCCAGTCTCTCCCTTCCCCTCTTCATGCTCTGAGAGGGGGTGATACATTTATGCAAATGAGCCCCCACCCCCAGCTTGTTGGTGTGTGCACTCACCAGAGACAGAGAGGGAATGTGAGAAATCACCCCTCGGGGGAGAGGGCCATGCCTCAATCTTTTCTCCCTTTTCCTCTCAGGATTTGGGGCTCACACCCACACATGCTCAGTGGGATTCTCAAGCTACCAGGTGAGGGACTCCAACCTAAGGGTTAGCACATGAGATCCAGTACCTGACCCACCCCCTGCTGTCCATTTACCCTACCTAGACGATAGGATCCATGTAAATGTTATCATGAGATATTTGCCATTTCCATCTGGTTTATTGTATTAGCATAAAGTCCTCAGTGTTCACGACATTGTCATGTGTGATAGGATTTCCATTAAATTTATTTTAAATTGAGAAATAATTGTGTTTGGGTGTATACATACAGCATAGTAAGATTCAGTGAAGCTAGGTGAGATCCACCAGGCATGGAAAGGAGATCTGGGAGCCCAGGGACCACGGGACGGGGCTGGGTGGCAGAGAATGCACAGGAGGCCCAAAGGCAGGTGCTGGCTGGAGGAACTCATGCTGCTCCCCCCGCAGCTTCCTAACCTGGGTGTGAACACATTCCCTCTGTGGGGAGCTGGAATGTCTCAGGTACAGAGCAGGCTCAGGATCTCCCATCCTCCTGCAAGCATCCTGTCTCTCTGTCTCTGTCTCTTACTAATGAGGCTCAATCAAAATAGCATCTCTGTGCACTTGTAGATGATGGTGGTGGGTGAAGTCCAGGTGAGGCACATGTCAAGGTCAAGGTCAAGGACTTGCATCTCCAGGAATTGCCCAGTGCCCTTTGCTGTGGGGGCAGCTCACACATGTTGAATATGGACAGAGGTGACGCGACCTGGTGACAGCATTGTGCTATGGACACACGTATGAACAGCTCCACAACACAGAAACTCGAACTCCATCAGGGTGGGGGGGTGGCAACAACCCTGCATGTCCACACGCAAAACTAAGGTCGCAATATCCTGACAAAATATGCACATGCAGGGGGCCAGCCGCTGTGACTTCAGTTCCCACAGGGTCTGGGAAGGTGGGAACTCAGGCTGACCTGGGAAACTCCTCTCTGCACTGAGGGGAGGGAAGAGGGCTCAGGGCTGCTCACACAGGAGGTTTTTGTCTCACTTCCCCTCCGTCTGTGTCACTGTGGGTTACACGTAGCTGCTCCCACTGCCATGGTTGACCCCACAGTGGTAGTCACTCTCGTCATCTTCCAGGAGGGTCTGGATGGGCGGATGATCAGGAACCGATCCAGGCCAGAGCCTGAGCCTGAGAAGCGATCAGGGATCCCATCCCCCTTGGATCCCTCAATGCCACTAGTGCCCACTCTCATCACAAACCGAGGGCCTTTCCCTGGGCTCTGCTGGTACCAGTGCACATTGTAGTCACTGTAGCCCCTGCTCAGGGTGCAGGTGAGTCTGGCTGCTTGTCCCAGGGAGGCAGATGCAGAGGGCGGCTGAGTCAGAGCTGGCTGGGACAGGGACCCTGCAAACACAGATCCTCATTAGGGCTATGAGGGAGGGGAGAGCCAGTGAGCTGTTGCATGAACAAGGACAGGGGTGGGGCTGGGGGACTGGAGGTGGAGGACCCTGTGCAGGTACTGCCCACTGGCCACCCTGACCTGTGAGGAGAGTGAGGAGGGTGAGGAGGAAAGGAGCCCAAGCCATGGTGGGGGTCCCAGTGCCGGATCCTTCAGGTCATCAGCTCAGCAGGGTTCCTGAGCCTCTTATCCCCTCAGCACAGGACTGGGCTGGGCACAGCCCTCCCTGCAAACCCTCCATGCAAATCTCCTTCCCACAGAGTGTGGGTCTGCCCTGCTCAGGGGGCTCAGAGTGAGAGCTCAGTTTTACTTGATTCTGAGTTTGTCTCCCCCTAGTGGCCCAGACAGTGACCATAACCCTCAAGGCTCAGAGAAGCCTCCCTGGGTCTCTGAGTCACAGCCTGTTGGTGGCACCCAAGTGTGTGTCCTGGGCTGTCCTCAGGCTCCATTCCCACGGTCTCAGCCACCATCTGCAGTGCTTTGCCTGTCTGGTGTCCACCATAGAATGCAGCTCCTGGAACACTTCATCCTGGAGCCTGCCCAAGGACTATGGCCGAACTTTCTTCTCAGAATCACAGAGTCCTTCAGCTCGTATTCTGCAGTAACCAATAATGTGTCACACAGGGGAGTCCCCATCCTTGGCCCTGGGAGAGAGAAGTGGGGACTTTGTCCGTGCCTCAAGGTTACTGTGTCCTTCACAGGAGACATTGTCCCCACATAAGCAGGTGATGCTGAGTGTTGTCACTGGGTCTCTAATTGCTTCCCAGGGAGGCACCTCTGGGCAGGTGAAAGGTCACCAAAGGACGATGGCTTAACTGCAGACATTTGGGTCCAATCTGGCCCTCAGCACAAGGGAATGGAGTAAGAAAGTTGTAAGAAGCAACTTACATTCGGTTTCATTGTCCACATTTTCAATTCTCTTTATATAATGAGACCTGAGTAACAAAGTCCTTGGGATGAATATATTTGCATTACATTAAAAATAAATATCGGTTCAATGTTACCATTCTGTTTTTATGTGTAGATTTTTTTAGATCCTGAGCCTTTTTCCGCATACTCTGTTCTGTACCCGTGATGCGTTTGTATGAAACAGTTGTGGAGGGGAAACAATATAGAACAAGGGACGTCACCTGGGGAGTTGGTGGCCTCTTCACTGGAAGTCACCTTTTCCCTTGTCAGCCTCCCTCGGGGCACGTCTGTTGACTCAGTGGAGATGTGTCTTGTTCACCCTAGACCTAGTTCTGTAAAATGAGTGAGACTGCCCGTCCAGCCCTGTCCCGCCTGACTGGATCCCAGACACACACACCCCCAGGGCTGATCTGTGCTGAGCAGACCCCTCAGTCTCCTCCCCAGACTGAGCCAAGTGCGTGTGGGTTTGTGCCTCATCTCTCAACCATAGGATTAAGCAGGAAGCTGCACAGGGGCATGGATGGACGTTAGAGAGGCCGCCCTGGCTCCCTGAGGATCCTGATTCCAGGCCTACGCTGCCCCCCGGTGGCCTGAGGAAGAGTTCACTCGGCCTGTGAGGACTTAGGTCTTGATAGTCAGAACCTGGCCCTGCCTTCTCCAGCCATCATGGCCCCCCAGTCCTGAAAGGTGGGTCTGAGTGGTGAACTGGGCGGAAACGTGGGCTTGATCTGAAGAAACCAGGGGCAGTAACAGCAGCTGCGGCACGTGAGGAAAACGTGTGCACAGCCCTAGGCTTCCGAGAGGGGAATCGTGTGAATGTGCTCCGGAGAGAAGACCATGGTCACTGCAGATGGTCCCTACTTTTATAGAAGACTCACACCTGAGATTAATCTTGAAATAATAATAATAATATACAATGTACAATAGCACAGTGACAACCCCGAGTAATGGTTTGCTAGGCTGTCACAACCAAAGAGCACAGGCTGGGTGAATCACTTAATCCTGGATTTACAAAGGTTTATTTTCTGATGGTTCTGGAGACTGGAAGGCCAGGGTCACGGCCTCGTCGGTCTGGTCTCCCCTAGAGCCCGTCTCTGTGGTTGCACATGAGCACCTCCCCCCCGTGTCTTCACACGTGTTTTCCTCCGTCCGTGTTGCCTGTATGCAAACCTTGCTCTGTTGGGGTACAGGCTTACTGGACAAAGGCCACGCCTTCATGACCTCATTTCTTTCTAGTTATGTCTTGAGAGGTCCTGTCTCTGCACATGGTCACCCTGGAGGGGATGGGGTAAGACTGCAGCATGTGACTGTTTTGTGGAAGAGAATTCAGTCCACAGCAAGCAGTAATTACTGTCATTTTTTATTCATGAGGGTGAATTATAGCAAAGTATGTAAGTGTGGAAATGACAATTTTTTACAGAGGTTTTTGCTATAAGGCGCATGCACTCACCAGAAAGATAGAGACAAAAAGCGAGAAATCACCCCCCGGGGGGATGACCACGCCGCAATACCTTCTCCTCCATTCTCCTCTTGGGATCTTGGACACACATGCACACGTACCTGGCACGAGTTTAAGCCACCGGGTCTGGGACTCGAACCGTGGTCTACTGCATGGGAGTCCAGTGACATAGCCATTACGCTAACTCCTCTTCCCAAGAAATGACATTTTTCAAACTATAACTTTTTTATGCAATGTGGGCACTCACTTGATCATGGTAAATTATAACATTTTAGTCACTTCTATGAGAACATGTTTTAAGCAAGTTGAGATGTAGAGTAAAGAGAAGCTAAGCCCATCCTCAGTGTGGTCCAACCATTACCATTGTCCATGTCCAGGGGTTTTTCACTGTCCCAAACAGGGACTGTGCACCATTGAATAGTGACACCCTGTCCTCCTTCCCCGCAGTATCTGGTGACCAGTGGAGAATGGAGGGAAGTTGAACTGGAGAGGGAGGAAGCTCCCAGGGCTCATGAACCCACCTCAATGCAGGAAGTGCCAAAGAGCAGAGAGCAGTGCCCCTGGTGGCCTCTGTGAGATGCTGACTGACCCAGAAAGGCTCTTTCTCTGGGCTAGCTTCTCATCCCTGAGGGACTATGGGCTGCCCACTAGGGGTCACTGCACCCCTGAGCCCTTTGGCAGTGTGTCCAGCACTTCCATCTCTCCCTCCCACAGTGTGGCATGAACATACACTGAGAGACCAGGGCTCTTAACGGGACATGTGAGAGGTTTTTTGCCTTCTCTACTCTTTCCTTCCAACACCAGCTTACACAGCCTCCAGAGACCTGTCCAAGGTGCTGTTTTCAGCCCGACTCCCTCAGGGTCAAGAATTCTTTCAAATGAACATGGGTGCTCCTTGATGTTATGCTGAAGAATGTTTGAATTTCTAGTTCACTGAAGTTGACCTCTTAGATTCATAATACTCTTCATGGTTGTTTATATGCCATCATATTTCCAGAATTAGAAATGAGTCTATGCTATGTGCCATTTATTTATTTTTATATTTACCACAGGAAATATAGATGTGTTCACCAGAGAGAGGCAGAGAGAAAGGACAGAGACAACAATGGAATGTGGTCACACTGAAAACCTTTTTCCTCCATTTTCCATCCTGTCAGGGTCTTTGTCAAGCACCCCATATACCTCAGCTTCCTCCGAAGCTGGGTCTGCCCTGTGGGCTCCGGCTCCCAATAGACAGTGCTTCTCTTCTGTGCTACAGGGCTGGGCCAGTGCCTTTATTTTTCCTCCTTAGAAATCTTTCTTGAATGGTTGGCACCACTCTTTTGTGATGTCACTTGGTTAGGTCCTTTGCTTAAGGGAAGATGTTTGGTCACTGAATAAGTATATGTGTGTACGTAATCACATATACATATTCATGTCTGTCTCTATATATTTATGTGTATTTATGAAACTCCTCTCAGGCAGGTCCATCGACTCTCTCTCTATGGATGGTGGAAGAGCTTGTAGAGTCAAACTATATACCTGGGTGCTGGGAAGGAAAGAGGAAGACAGGAAGCCCACCATGATGCCTTGTGCCAGGAGGAAGGAGTGGGAGGGGTCATCTCTCTCCTTTCACTTGTTCTTAAAGGCCCTGGTGTCAGATGATGAAGGAGGGTGAAGAAAAGCTCAGTCTGTGACTGAAACAACCCCCAGTTGGGTGCCAGTCTTCATTTTGGCATTGAGACCCTCCTTTCCCAAGGGCTTTTTTTGAGAGGATTTCTTACTTTAGGGTGTGTGTGCTCGCCAGAAATACAGAGACAGAGAGACAGAAAGTGAGAAATCACCCCCCAAAGGAGATGGCCACACCGCAATCCTTTCTCCTCCATTCTTCTCTCAGGATCTTGGGCATGCACACACACACGCGTCCAGTGTGAGTTTAAGTCACTGGGTCTGGGACTCCAACTGCAGTTGACTACATGAAAGTCCAGCGACATTGCCATTATGCCCACCGCTGATCCCCCTAAATGCTCTTTATTTTCAGCCTGAGTCAAGTCCCTCCACGTGACTGTCCATGGTGTGACTGTCTACTGATGTCAGTCAGAGCTGGCCTGGATCACTTGAGGCACCTGGACCGTCAGTTGTAAGGTCAGCACAGAGGGATCTATGGAAGGATTTTTTTTTAATCTATGGGAAATATTGAGAGAGAAACTTTTAAGATAACTTCTCTTTGGAACAATGCCACTACATGTTTTTTAACATCAACAAAGAGGCCCTGAGGTTTTTGTCGCACTTCCCCATCTGCCCGTGTCACTGTGAGCACCACTACTGAGCCCAATCTGACAGTAATACACGGCCTCGTCCTCAGCCTGGAGCCCAGAGATGTGCAGAAACGCTGTGTTCTTCGACTTATCTTTGGACCCAGAGACTCGACTGGGGACCCCAGGCCCCAACTCCTTGTCGGAGTCTGAGTAGTAGTACAGGAACCACCGGGGAGGGCTCCCTGGCTTCTGCTGGTACCAGT